ACTATGTGCAAGAAAATTGAAATACTAGTTTGAGAAAAAGGAATACTAGTAGTTTAGCAGAAGTAGATCCAGTACTGAAATTACAACAACTACTAGTCTTACATTTTCTGCTACTATTTCTGTTTTTCATACAGTTATAGTACTACTGTAGTAGTACTAATTATACTGATTTTCATATAGTAGTACTAGTAGTAAGCTAGATATAGCTCTAGATGATATAGCTCTGATACACCAAGAAGCAATACACCAAACAATACAACAACAAATACAACAACCAATACAATAACCAATATACCAAGCAGTAACTAGTAGTGTTGAGAATGTAGCTCAGGCTGTAGCTTACTAGGCTGCATCTAGATATAGCTCTAGATATAGTAGCTCTAGATATTGCTGGTGATAGTGATGTAGGCCAGAAGCTAATTTTAACACGGCGTTTGCACGTGAAGATAAAACCCACTGATTTTGCCCAAATTGGACTGTATAGGCCGGTAGGTAAAAAGCTAATTTTTACACGGCGTTTGCACGTAATGATAAAACCCTTCCATTTTGAGCAAAATGGACAGTATACCCCCTTGATTTTGAATTTTCTACAGGAATTCTACAAGCGTTTTGTACCAGGAAGCTCCGTAARTCATTATTTTGGTCTCCAGTTTGCTTCCGATCTGATTTTAGGTCGAAAGCTAATTTTAACACGGCGTTTGCGTGTGAAGATAAAACCGGACCTTGATTTGGTCTTTTCTACGGCGCTTGTACTAAAGAATAGATTATATCTGTATATTTTCAATATTCTTATTCGGTAATGAATATATATATATTATAATTCGTAATCCAACGGCTACCGAAAAGCTACTTTAAAGTAGCTTAAAAGTAGCTTTTAAGCTACTTTAAAGTAGCTTAAAAGCGACTTTTAAGTAGCTTTAAAGTAGCTTTTAAGCAAAGCTTTAAAGCTACTTAAAAGTCGCTTAAAAGCTACTTTAAAGTAGCTTAAAAGCTACTTTTGAGCTACTTAAAAGTTTCTTAAAAGCTAATTGTACGATACAACTCCCCCGCAGGTCGGCTTATATATCATCAGGCACGTGACTCAGTAGCTGAGCCGTACGTCCAGTAGCTTAAAGTATCCGGTTATGAGTAGGCACGTGCCTCAGTAGCTGCGCCGTACGTCCAGTAGCTCAAAGTATCTGGTTATGAGTCGTTTCCCAACGTCCCAGTGGGAGGCTCGTGCTTAATGAAAACAAAAAACACTCTAATGCACAAGTACGTACATACGTACTCTGTTTTCTACTTACAGTAATACCACTGAAGTGTTAGCGGCTCATGCATTCCGGTCAGGAACGGAAGCAAAACGAAGAAATCAACAAGAACCATCTAGTACGGGCACTAGCACGAACGATACCGTAGCAGAATTTTCAATAATCAAATTTTCTCGCGAGCTTCGATCCGGATGAGAGCAATAAGTAATTTTAAAAGAAAATGAAAGTTCTTTAAATAATTAACTTCTTCGAAGTGTTGTTAGTGCCACACGCCAAGACAATTCTGGTGCTCTGAAGGAAATATCAGTTCTTTTTCCATTAGGATCCTCACATCCAATTCTCGATTCGGTTTTGGGTTGACAAGCTGACAGTTCTTTGTGTTTTCAGTAATTAGGAAAATCGTTTTTTTAATTGAAGTCCAGAACACATCCTTAGATGCACGGATGACAATACAGATTAAATTCTGTTATATAACAACAATGTGCTCAAGAAAAATAGGAACTTTGAGAAGACCGAACCAAATGCTTAATTGGAATGAAATTATCTTAAGCTTTTACTATGTTCGGTGGCACAAAACTCTCGTGGGGAATTGGGAGCCACGTTAAATGTCATACATTCTCATTTGTTTGAAGAAACAATGTTCTCGATATTATTTGGTGGTTATGATTGGCTGATAACACGAGAAGACCTTCATCGTACAATTCAGAAGCGGACATAGGGCTCCCCATTGTAAGGATTGGATCGATAGTGAATTCCGAATATTCGTAGTCTTGCCCGTAAAGATAACCTTGCCTTCTTCTCAAGTTGTCGTACGTGTCGCACTAAATTTACGGTACGAAGGCATGGTTCTCGAAGCTCTACGGTATATCACAAACTTCCACCGACCATTTGAACTATTTTCCAGGTACAGAACACTACATCGAATTGAAACAATCTTCCGATAAGTGTGAAAAGCAAGAAAACAAACACAACACAACCATGCAATCCATAGATTCATTGTCTTCTTCCGCGTCCGGAATCTATTCCCTTTTGACCCCTAGGAACCCGTCCATTCACTATTTGACGGAGTCTAGTGCAAGTATTCCTGCCCATGCGTTTGAGCGTGAACGAATCGCAAACGTGGTCCCCTTTACCAAACTGGAGTCTGTTGCGCAGAGTAAAAGCAGCGATCGTGGCGAGGGCGAAAGCGAGAAATCGCCCATTTATTCGCTCTCCACTATTGTTTCACCTGATAACTCAGACATCTCAAAGGGCGGCGTCGCCATCCCCTTTCCCTACAAGCTGCACATCATGCTCGAGGCAATGGAGGCAGAGGCCGAGAGGGGCCTCCCCGAGGGAAAATCAATAGTCTCTTGGATGCCCCACGGGCGTGCCTTCAAGGTTCACAAGCCGGCCAGATTCGTCCAGGAGATCCTAGCTCACTTTTTCAGCCAGACCAAGTACGCATCCTTCCAGCGCCAACTGAACCTCTACGGCTTTTCCCGAATCACTAACCCCGGGCCCGACAAGGGGGCTGTCCATCACGAATGCTTCGTGCGGCACAAAAGGGATCTAGTCCAGGGCATGGTCAGGAAAAAGGTCAAGGGAACAAAGTTCCGTCGAGTCGTTGCGCCCGAGGATCAGCCCGACTTCTACAAAATTACAAGCGCCGAGCTCACCGATACCGACGATACCAACGATGTTACAGCCACCACGAGCGACACAAAAATCGAGCGGACAGAAGTTGCTAGCGTCGACAATGGCGACAAGCACAGAATCACCCCGAGCGCTGAACCAAAGATCGACCTAGATACGAACGACTTTGAGCGGCACCACCATCTAAATTATGATCACCTCCGGTTCCTGCAGGACTCGTCGCTGTCGATTCTGCAAGCGATGCCACAAACTGTGGACAAAACGMAGTACGCCGTCCTCCGGAATGCCGTTAATGCCGTGGAAGAGGCACTTGAGAAATGCAACGAAGAAAACGCCGCCGGCCTCAGCAACGACTCACAACGCGTGGACACTAGCAGTCTGCAGCAAGCGGTGGCACACTGGCCGCTTCGGTTACGCCTGCAGCAGTCAAACAACGTATCGGTCCCCTCCCCTTCAACATCGTTTTTGTATGGATCTTCCTCCTTGTCGTCACTGGGGTGGTAACCAACCGGAAGAGCACTGTCACTATCGATCCGTGGATCGATTCAAACACATCGTCGCTGTTGCCTTGGCATTCGGGGTCGGCATCAACGGCCAAAAACCAGCACCTCATCAACGTTCAACTTTCGCCACGCCGGCTGGTGAATGAATGTATTTCGGCCCATACTATTTTTCTATATATTTTTGCCATCGATCTATGCATGTACTTACACCCATCCATGATCTCTTCATTGAAACTAAATCTCGCTATTTCTTGTGAATGGGATACGGCTCGAAAGAATATCGTGTTCATTTCAAACATAGCAGCTGGTAGTATAGCCAGCCAGGTTGGTATTCATATGATTAAACTATTTTACAATGATCATACGGTTCGAAACTGCGAGTACGTTCACGCAAGTGCTACAAACACCTGAAGCTATTTGTAAAGTGTGAAGACAAACTGTGTTCGTCTGCATAAGTAGTATTTTTTTAAAATTTTGAGTCTGGATTGCAACCTGTTTGATAGTTCGGTTGCAAGTAAAGATACTAATGACATGACATTAGGTGTGCACTAGTATTCCAACTTGTATCTGAGTGTAACTGCAATCTGAATGGTACGTAAAGGATTCAAAAGTCCAACAACTAAAGAAAGACTGAGGGTGGTTGTCACACCTGTTCGTACTGTACCTTAAAAGCAACGACGTCCACTCGTTCTACTAGAAGCAACAGAAATATATGTGTAATGATTCACAATTAGGATATTGCATTATTCCTTCCTGGACGGACGACCATTAAACAGAAAGCAAGAACAAGAAAACCGAAAACCATTATTTGTGTTCTGTATGCACACCAGTACTTCTTGTTGGTAACCATTATTTTGAATTCTTGCGGTGTTGTTGTAGCTCATAACCTACAAAATGCTGAAAGACTTGCAATAAAGAGTGAGCTTATTCACTATCTACTCGTACTTTAGGCTCACAAGAGCTTTGTGGATGTTAGGCTGATGAGCATGTGAGGTAAGTCTGTTGTTCCTCATAACCTGCGAAATGTATGTATGCTCTTTAGTGCCTTATAACTACGTGTTTACAATAAAGATTTAGCTTATTCACTATCTGCTCGTGATTTAGGCTAACACACGTACATTTTGCAGGTTATGACTATTTCTATTGGCGCTCTTCGTGCAGTCTCGGAAAGCGTTCAATCGTGGATAATTTTTGAGCGCTTCGAAATCATGGGCCGAAGCTGAAGAAGAAACAGATGGAAAGATCACGCCAAGTTTGTTACTGATGACCGTTTAGTCGTGATCAAGCTTCCTCACTCTGTCATCCCTTCCACCAACATTTCTTTCCTTTCATAACTTTCACAAATACTACTTCCAAATCAATAATAAACTAACAAAATCCAATAGAACTTTTAATCATGTCAAACAATACCAATCGTCACAACACCAAATTACTTTTCTTGGCGCTATTTCTAGTGCTATCTTCGCTTGGGGTGTTGTCACAATCCATACCACACACATCGGAACAAGCAGTGGCTTCGCCTCAACCTAACGAGAACAACACAAGCACAGAAAACACACAGCTGGTCTACCTGGAACGGGAACAAACCTTTGCGGCACCGCCCCGAAGAGACGTCGACACAAGGCTCCCGGGGATCTTCCCAAGGGGCGCGAGGTCTTTGTACAAAACCGACCTTGATTGGATCGCCCTGAGGGGCATCAGCCCGTGGAAGCGCGTCCGTTCCGGCCTGAAATTTGTCTTTGGGGGCGGTCTCTCGCAGCTGCTGCGCGTCACCCGCGCTTTCTATTTCCGGAGCATCCCGGCGACGATCTATGATGCACGCGCCAAGGAAGCCGAGGAGGGCCTGACCAAAGCGGAGTTTTTTGAACGGTACGGGTTTGTAGTTCTGAACCACACCAGCGCCATGGAGGCCTCCGACTGGTCGGAGAGCGATCGCAACATCGCGGCTCTCCTCGGGGCCTATGGGAACCGCTCGAAAGATGGTGGATCTTCCTATCAAGCGATTATTGATGACTTTCGGAACGGGGACACGCCTGTGAAACGCATCTATGCCAAGGAAACTACCGATCTGCTCCGGTCCATTCTGCCGCGGGCCAAGAATGTCATGGGCCCCTCCAGGGGGATCCGGCGCTACCCTACCAACAATCTCAACAAAGGTTTTGCCAAGCAGGTCCACAACGACTACGGCCTCGACTTTGACGCCGTGGTGGAACGGAACCCATTTTTTGATTTCGGATCGCAAAAGGCTTTGTACGAAGAAAAACAGGCTGACGAGTACATGCTCGTCAACCTATGGAGGCCAATCAAGCCAATGTCTGACTCTTCCGAGCTGCGCTCCTTCCCGCTTTGTTTTCTCGACCCAACTACGCTGCAAGAGGGCGATTTTGTGGAGGTGGACTCGGCCTCGCTGGGAGTAGTGACCGCGTTGAAGGAAAATCCGGAACACAGGTTCTATTACTACCCCGATATGACAGTCAACGAGGTTGTGGTCTTCAAGCAGTTTCACCAACTACGCATCGAAACGAGTGCAAGGATGCCCGTCTTTCATACCGCCTTTGCCGATCCAGCGGCGGACGAGACCACAGAGGATCGTGTGTCCTTTGAGTACCGGGTGGGGATACTGCTTTAGGGTGCAGGACAGCGAATGGATCGATGTTGCGGGTTGATCGCTTTCTGCAAATAAGTTCCTTGATCCCAAGATAAATTTTGGACGCCAGTTCGTGTCAAGTAGTAACAAATGCCTTGAAGAATATTTTATCTATTTTACCATCTAAATATAATGATTTCATTCTTCTTTCTCTTCTTTTAGCTTGTATCCAGCCTCACTGAGTTTATTCAGCATCATTATCCTGCCGAGGGCGTCCTGAACCTCCTTGTCGGGGGTTGACGCCCCACTCGTCACTCCCACGCGGAGGACTTTCTTTGTGCGCTCTCCGGTATCTGCGTCGGTGGTCCACAGCATGTCCTCGGTCAGAAACGGAGCCCTAGTGGTAATTTCTCCGTCGACGGTCCGGTGCTTCAGTTTATTTTCGGCTTGGACGCACTCGGCCGCGTCAATGTGGAATGAAGTGACCCCTCGCGCATCCGGAATTTCTAGAAGATGGGCTGTGTTCGAGGAGTCGAAGCCCCCCACCACTAGGATAAAGTCGAGGCTTACCTGCTCCGGATCATCGTGCATATTGCAAAGCTCGTCCACCGCGTCCTGTCGAACCTGCGTGGCATCACAGATCGTATCGAACTCGTAGTAGTGCTCGTTGATCAGATCCGGTCCAAAAGTCTTCATCATGGTCTTTTGGAGCAGCTGGCCGATCGCCCTTGTTTCCTTCTTGTACATGGTCGTTTGGTTGGCGAGGCCAATTTTCTTCAAATGCCTGTGGGGGTCAAAGTGGGAGCTACAGGCCTTCGAAAATTTCTCCATGAACTTCTCTGCACGACCGTCCCCCTCTTTAGCAGTCAGAATGAAATCGGAAACGTACTCGGCTTCCTCTAAGTTCTTGACGCAAATGTAAGTCTCGCACATAGATTTGGTAGCCATAGTTTCCTCATGGGCGTATTTTCCGTGGATTACAGAGGTCAGACCTCGCACTTGGTGGGTATGGACTGTGTTCCATACTTTTGCAACCCAAGGGCATGTTGTGTCCACCACCTTGACTTTTTTCGCATCAAGTTCTCTGGAGAGAAAGGTCACCAAATTGAGGATACAATGAAAAAAGCAGGGCAAATCAGTAACCACTAAACATACTTAATGCGGGAAATATTGAATGTCTCCCCGTAAGGTTTCTTTTGGTACTTACTTCATTTCCTCTAGTGTAGCTCCAAACGCAGGTAGCATGACTACGTCACCTTCTTCGATTTGTGAAAAATCCTTGCCATTGTCCTCGTCCTTACCAATAAAATTTACATCCTTCGTATGCAGTCGATCATTGACCATGGGATTGTGAATCAATTCGTTGGTGATATGGACCTTTGATTCGGAGAACGTTTCTACTGCACTATACGCCAAGTTGATGGAGCGTTCCACTGGCTCAGGTATAGCAGAGAAGGAAATATTGGAAGATTTAGAGTGATAAAAATCTCATTTTCATTTTTCGAACGAGGCTTCTCGGTACTCACCTCCCCAACAAAATCCATGATCTTTTGCCAAGTAAAATTCCACTCCATCCTTCTCAATCATGTAATTCGGATTTTCCTTCATCTTATTCATCAGATCGGAGTCAAACTGTTCTTTCATGTCTTGCGTAACTTCTGCTTTGACATCCCTGAAAACTCCTGCCCCCCGATAAAAGTCTTTCTTTCTCGCAATCTGTTCTCGTTCATTTTTTATGTAGATCTTTTTTTCCTTCGTGATGGCCTTTGGCTTAGAATCCTGATCGTCGATGGTCGAAAATAGGGGTTGCGTTCTTCTGCCATTTCGAAGATATCTGCTGCCGAATTGAAATGCTTCGGTGAATTGCGCTGCAAGTAGCAGATGAATAATACTGGTCGCGGTTGGAAATCTCATTTTAATAATATCGTTTCTTGTCGTTAGTTCTTTCCTTAACCTCTCTTTCACTCTCTGCAACGTATTCTAATTATGATATGCTCGCCACAACCATTTCACTCCTCCCTCACTGGAATACTTTTGAATCTTTTCCACTTTTGATGGGTTCTAAAGATTTCGATTTTGAAGAAGTCGAGACTAAAAGAATACCGATTAAGTTTTTCGGTATGCCACATCGTGATTTCAATGACTCTGTACGTGGGACAGCTGTCCATTATTTCATTCCACTTGGATTATTTCCCGTCGAGATACGAATTTCATCATCTTGAATTTGTGATCTGTTCTTCAAAAAAGGGGAGCACGCCAAACGCGTGTGAAGCACGATATTTTCGTCACTCTCATATGCCCCTGCTAACGAGCGCGCCGATCACGCGTCTTCCATCCTTCAGATTACCACATCACAATTTTTTCATCTCGGCATCATTTGCCCTCTTCGCCTTCCTTGATCACAATGAGAATAGCATCGTCATTTTCCTCAACGACGTTCTGAAGTTATGTTTTGCAAACAACTGACACGAGTTTTAGATCGTGGATGCAGAATGCTGGTACAATTTTGCGTCAGTCACACAAAATATAGTCTGGGAACTTAAAATTAGACAATGAAGAAGCAAAGCTTCGGTACCATTTTTTTCCCTTCTTTGTGTTGAAGATGGTTGTACTTCGTGTGTTTCAAGGCTTGATGGTGGTAAAGCTCTTGGGATCTTTTTCTTGGTTAGAAAAAATCCATGCTTTTTCCAACTTTTGCCCCATCCAAAAGACATCAAATTATCGGAACCTGATCGAACTGAAATCACAAGATCATTCGAAGGAGGAGACAGACACGACATCGTCACCACAACAATCGACAAAGCCATCTGCATCGTTACCTTTGGCACGCTCCGATCGACAACAACGCCTCAACCGAAACGATCAAATTGAGAGGATACAAGGCGTTTGGTGGACATCAGAGAACAGAGAGCAACTCGTGGAAATCAAATCTTCCTATGCAATATTCGATGCGCCGCAACAATCTTATGTGTCCACCACCTCGACCATGCCACCGGCAGTCGCGTACCCACTAGGGGGGACGGACGACATTGTTACACTTCGGACCTTCAAATTGGTAGCACCAACCAAGGTGATCTCCGAGGAGAACGCGACCGTCGATGCGGTTCCCGAATGGATCCCTTCCCCAACCAGCAAGGTGGCGGTACAGCGCGGCGGTGGATCGGCGATCGGAACAACCGGCCAGAAGGTCTCGCCGTCTAGTTCTTCAGCATTCCGTTGGGAATTGTGCACCGATCCCGAAGGCAAATGGAAATCGGATCGGGTGGTCCAGGGGTTCGAGGAAAACTTGACCACCTTGCTGGCATCAGAGGGACCGCACTGGAGCGCGAGCCCCGTAGATGTAGTCCGCGCATGTATCGAAGGGATAAGATCTAACAACCTAGAATTGGTACATTCTCTGTGCCTATTTCAATCGGAAATGGAGGAGACCAGCGAAATATGTAGTGGCAAAAAAGCAAAAGATAACGAGGTTCTCGAAATCCTTGCCGACCACTTTGCAGATGCAGAAAGACCTTTGTCTTGGTCAATTGTGAAGAGTCATTACTTTTCTCCAGATGTATGCACGCTCAGTGTCCAGATAGCATCAGCTGGGACTTTTGACTTTTGTATTTCTCGGGCAGACAAAGCACGCAGGGGCGAGGGACAGGGCACGTGTTCGCCATCCAAAAGGCGTGACAAACTGTCGCCATCGCTTCTCTTCGATTCGATTACGGATGTAGAACTACTAGTCAACGGCAAGACATGGGAAATCGATCACATTGTTCGCTCATCCTTTACTACTAAATGATGTGAATGTGCTATTGTTTTTACGTCATAACTGATTCATATTTTATGGAAGACATTAATATCATACTTAACTTAAAGTTCTCCTGCGATTCTATTTCCATCCACATCGTTGCTTGATCCTCTGCTGCCCAGTATTTTTGTGCATCAACTGTTACTGATCAAGTTGAACCATTCGTTTTATGATCAGGTGGTGATTGCGACAAAATTCAAAAACAGGTTTAGGATTTTGCCAAAATGATGTAATCGTAGTCAGACGCCTTACCGTTGGGCCAAAGGGTCACATTAAACCCTCCCGGGAATCGAACCCGGAATCTTCTGATAAACTACTTTTGTTGTCTTTGTGGTATCTGCAATGTGTATTTAAATAATCTTATTTATTCGAATGAGTCGATCCCTTTTTTGGCTACTGGCCAGGCCAACTACTGACGTACGAGGAGCAACGAGAAAGATATTTTGGAAGAGTTGGTAGTACGAGTACCTTACTTGGTACGAGTACTGTACTTCTTGTACATACGGTTCCGTACCCTACTCGTACTCCACCAGAGAAAATAGGTACGAGTACCTGTCATGTTCTTGGGTAGTACGTACTGTTTCTACTGTACAGGAACACTTACTGGTCCAGAGATGAACAGGGTGCAATACACACAGCATTACGGGAGTTCCGATGCGTCGAACGGCACAAAAATTCTCACCATTCACACATTCTTCCTAAAACCCAACGAAGCGACAGCAAGCAAACGAAGATAGTAATATTCGACGAGTTGTTTGCTTTTCACTCCGCCTCGCTMCATTTCTAAGCAAACCAACACACGACGATTATGGCAATTTACAACACGAGTTCGAACAACAACCATGCCAGCAATGCTTCTGTCCTTAGCATAGTTATCGGAACCACGTTTGTGGTCGGAACGCTTTCGTCCGTTGGATGGTACTATTACTTCACCCGTGCGACAATAAGCAAAGACAGCGGGGATGACAATGGCAGCAACAAAAGCAGTTTGTCCCCCGCAAAGCCATCGTCGTCACTCATCAAACCACCTTTTCCGCAGACGCTCCGGGACATGCTGTCCGTGTGCCGACTGGCCTACCTTTCCACCGTCGACAACGCAGCGGGAAGCTCCCACTTGAGCCTGATGCGTTTCACATACCTCCACGACGAAAGTGACGGCGAGGTCGTCATCATGAGCACGAATCGTAAGACGAAAAAATTCGATATGCTCTGCCGCCAGAACGGCGTGGCCCTGCTAGTCCATGACTTTGACGGCATCACGAAGCAGCAGCTGGCGGCTGCCGCAGCAAACGAGATAAACGACGACGACAAGGCCGACCCGGAGCACCCCAAGATCCTCCGGTCCATTACACTCAACGGAAACTGCCGGATCCTGGACGGTTCTTCCGACGAGGAACGCTACCGACGGGCACACCTGGCGCACAATCCCGACTATCCCCAGTTCATCGTCGGGGACGACATTGCCGTCCTGTGCATCGACGTGACCTCGGCGCGGATCTGTGACCTGAACGACCGGGTTGTTCACTGGAACGTAGAGGACGCGGCACTCGCGGCGGCGACTACAGCAATGCCACCGTCGCCACTGGCGGAAACGGCAAGGGTTTAGAAGAGGACAGGGAGGATCGATAGGACAGTCACCCGACATCCCTATGCGTACGAATGATACAGCTAGATTTATTCTATGCAATACTAGAAGCGTGGTAAGATATTCATGAGAAAGAAAAGCCGTCGTGTTTCCATCACGAATGTGGGTGTGGTCGTAAGAGATAGTGGATCTTCGTGCGGTGTCTTGTCGTGTGGACGCTTGGGTTTTGTGATGAGAACATTGCTTTTGTGGTCTTTCCGTTCTGGCGAAACTAGCTGCTCAGTTAACTATCAAGCTTGTCTTGGAAAGAATACGCTTGGAAAAGATTGCAAAAAGGAGGTTGAACGATCACATGGAAACAACGAGATCTATACGGTGGATGGGCAAGCAATGCACTGACTTGCTTGCTCGACAATCGTGATTTTACTTCGCTTGTTTCCTATTCCAGTCGTATAAATGTTGGTTTGGTCTGGTACCATGGTGACTTGAAGAGTCTGCACTGCTCTACTGACTTCAATTGGAAGTACACGAATCAAGATTTCTCCCGTGCAATGTGATGGAACTCGAATGATAATACAAACCCAACGACAACCTAGACTCAGAGTAACCAATATGATATTGCGTGAAAATTTCTCATATCACTGCTAGCTTGATATCAAATTTGTGTATTTTCAACAGTAGCAATGTACGTACCTCTCCACCAGCATCTTTGGTCGATGTAACTGACCGAGGCGTAATTTTGGTTCACTTGTTCCGAGATGAAAGCTCCATTCCCATATCCTTGTTGTGATCTTTCGTCCCTCGTTCATCAGGATCTCTTTGCCACTTAGAATCATAGACAATCTCACCCAAAAGTCTCTTTTGCCTCTACTTCGTCTACTTCGTAGTACAATGCTCTAAGCTCGCCACCGTCTACTACCGTCCGTTTTGGGCTGATTGTAACGCTTGAGTAGACCTACCTTAGTTTCTTCATTCGTGACACGAAAGCACCACGGTTCTCTTGGGTTTATTTTGTGTGCGAGGCAGCGAGGTTCATTCGTGTCCGCCATGGTCGATCTCCTCCACGATTCTTATTGGATGGTCGTGACGCTTTTTTGTTTCTAGAATGAAACAAAAACCAGGGACCGATTGGCTTCGAGTGTCTGCCCATACGCCGTATTACCGGACGGTACGTACTCGTACTTCCCATGATGATCGTTTGGAAAGCAGAAGAAAAATCTTTCTGGCCAGTTTGTACCCTGCTTTGTACTGGATTTCGACTCACCCTCACAGCAGTGACATCCATCACTGGGATTCGACGGATTCGTCGAACGACATTCGTACGCGTACCAGTAATGCTCGCAGAGAAATTCTTTGCACGAGGAAAGAAGCAAAGAAGCCGGAGACAAGACGCGACACGACACGGAATTGTCTTGTGCTTTGTCAATAATTATTATTGGTGTATCCGATACCCATCACAACTATTTTTCTGTTATTCACCAACTTGAAACATATCTCGACTGAACTCGACTGAACTCGCGGCACCACAAAATGACGATTGCCTCACAAGAAAAATCCCACTACCGATACGAGCAGGCGCAGCTCCGACGGAGGCACTCGATCGCAAAGATCCACCGATCCAGCAGCTTGGTCGGAAACCCGGCCTTCATCATCGGCCTCTCGCTAGCGCTAATGGGCGCGATCGGCTTCTTTGCCGCTATGATCCACCTCACGTCGAAAGTGGAGGCCTTCCGGCCGGTGTATGCGTCCCACCACCGCCGCCACGGATCTAGCGACACGCGGGTCTTTCTGGAAGGTACGTCCGAAGCAATACGGCACGAAAGAACTTGGCAGCGCCAAAAACCGAAGGATCGGAGCCCAGCGCAACGAGCCACAGCAGGCTGCACAAGGCGTGCATCGATCGACCGGAAAACGGAAACAAACTGCGACCGCAGATTTCAAGTGCGATGGATTTCTCCTTCGTTTCATTTCGTTTCGTTTCGCAACATCCCATTAGTCTCGCCAGCTAACCAACATGCTACCCACTTGAAATTTCTCACCTCGCCTCACCCTCACAACGTTCAATTCGACAGACTGGGTTGCCGACATGATCGACAAAGAGCTCTACCGCCAGGACCACCGCAAGGAATACGAGGGCGAGTGGATGAAAAAAAACAAGGGTGCGGTTCTCTCGCGGCTCTCGGACTCGGAAACCAGCCCCAGCGGATACCCCTCCTCCATGCTGGAGCTCGACGGAGAGGACCGGGCCGCCTTTGCCGATCACAAGCGGGACGAGCGCATGGCCTTTCTCAAGCCGGAAAAGTATTGCGCCGACCGCTGCGTCGCGACCGGGAACTGCGATATTTTTGAGGATTTCTATGAGCTGGGCCCCGAAGACGTGCTGAAGTTCTGCGAGGAGTGCGTCCTTTTCAGCGAGGAAGCCGAATCCGACGGAGGGGAGTATTCGTCGGCCTGCGAAGTCCCCGATGCCTTTTACGAGAAGGAGCCACCCCTCCGGCCATAAATGAGGGATGTGGTGGCTGGATGGCGCACAGCAAAACAAAACAAATCAAAACCAATACGAAGACAAACCCATCGAGCCAATTTGGTTTGGATTGAATCAATATAACCACAAAATGCTCCGCCACGTGCGGCAGATATAAATCATTGTATATTTCGGAAGACAATCCATGCACTCATACAACGATAAGGCCATCATGGTTCATAGCGGCAAAGATCAATTAGTGCATTTTTCCTTGGATCCATAACATAAACATGTACTAAAGCATCATGCTTTCTATCGTACTATAGTACAAGTAACGTCGTGGCGTGTCGTTATCACAACAATCTTGTCGAAACAGAGAATGCGACGTGTAAACCAAACGGTACCGCACACTGCCCAATGCATCTGGTTCATTGGAACAAACGAAGAACCCACGGTGTTTGTTCCTCTATGGTTGGTGGTCTATGATTTTTCATTTCTTGTCATTTTACCATGCTACCTGTTCTATACTGCGTCGTGGTACACTATAGCACCAACGCAAAACCAAACCCCGTTCCGTTCTGTTTCGTTTCGTTCGCCTGCCTTAGCCACACGCCACTGTTATTGCCGGTGGAAGAGCTGCGAGGCCACGACGCCGCTGCCCCCCTTGGCCGGTTCGTCGTAGACGAGCGTGTTCGTCATGAGCAGCCGGTCGACGTCCGCGGGAGTCCCGAGGTCGTACGCGTGCTGCCCCTTGGGCGGAGCATAGGTGGCCCCGGCGGGAACGATCCGCCGCTGAACGTGGACCGCGTACCCCTCACCGACGGACACCTTAGTGGTGCGCAGGCCGACGCAGACGCCGTCGTTTTCGCCTTCGTCGCTTTCTTCGTACAGATAGTTCACCGAATCGCGAAAGACCCGCCCCCGGATGGTCGTTTCCGTACAGGGGCCGTCGATCGTGTAGTGGGTCTCTGATTCGATGATCCCCTTGATGGTGATGGTCAGATCCGAGTAGGTGGGCAGCGAAAAAGTGTGTGTGGGTCGGGCCTTGGATGCTGCCTTGCAGAGAAACCAAGGGAGGCCCTGGGCGTTCAAAAACTCTGCAAAGTTGTGGTTCTCCACCACCTTGAAAGTACCGTTCATGTCGATCGGGGCCGGCTTGTCGTACTTCTGTGAAGGCAGGGGTGTGACGGACAAGGGCGTCGTCGTTTCTTCTTTCAAGCCCTCTTCCTCGGGTTCCTCGGGAATGGTCTCCGTGCTCGCCATTCTGAGCGAGGGGAGGAGCGAATATCTGAATTTTTTTTCGCTCGTTTTTGTGCTCGATAGCACCAAAGTCCAATCCGTATCGTTGTAGGTTCGCACCGAGAGATAGGTCACGGTTCCCAGCAGATAGAGGGGAACAACGATCCACTGGATCCATTCCTCGAACCGGTCCGCTAGAACGCGCAGAGATGCTAGCACGTTCAAATCGGATGAAAGCACCGGCGCAGTGGGTGGCGCTTTCGAAGCTCCGAGCGTGTATCCGATCCAGAGCGTAGCCGATAGCAGCCCGCACGACCGCGCTAGAGATCGAGCGGTGATCTCGGAGGGTCCATTGCTGCCGTGGTTACTGGTGATGGAGTGTGGGCTTCCGGGGAAGCCAGTTTCGAACGCGAAAGAAGAACATCGGGGCGATGCCATTTTGTGGTTTTGCCCTTTGTTTGGGTGTGGATTGGTATGATGCAGTGTGCTGCTCCTTCGATTTAGTGTTATTCCTATCGTGTCGTTATGCCGATTTCGGTGTACGGTTCTACACTATTTCACTTCGATCAAACAAACAAAAGGGACATAACCAAACCACGGCCCACACTTCTGAGTAACAGCGCAAAAGTAATAGCAAAAATTCTATTGCACACAGAGGAGATGTTCTGAGCGACGCAGTGAAACTGAGGAAAGAGCACGATACTCGGAAGGTAAACTCTCCAACGCAAACGAAAGCGAAAGCGGAGAACAAGAAACAACTGCGAACTACCTACTGTACGGTACGGTACGGATACTTGTATTCCAAGCACAAACACCGTCCGGGTAGAACGCTACGAACGTAGTTTTGTCAGAGTAAGAATAAGTACTGAATAGTACGAACCGTACTACAGCGAGGGCGACAACATACGATACATTTAAATAGGGAAACTGGTACTGTACGAGTTACGACTAAGTACCGTACACAGCATTGAATTGTAAATTGGTACTCTATTTTCAAACGGTCCCTTTTTAAAAAAGACCGCATTCGAAGATTCAAACCGGATAGGATTATGAGGAGAATAACACCAACCCAAATCGTATGCAAACACAATCACGAATAGCTAGTGAGTGACGCCAGACAGCAACAACCACAGCTGCAGTGCACTCACTCTTTACTGTAGAAACCCAATAACATGCACTAGAGAGCCTATTAACATTTCCCACCAGGTTAAGGATGAGTGGGGGCAAATGAGATTAGTAAAGTACGATACAACTTCCTCCTCCGTCCAGAAGCAAATACTAAAAAAAAAATCTTAATATCATACTACTATTTTTGAGGCAACCCGTAGGCAAGTTATCACACGTAGTGATCAAGGAGATGGGTGCCACACACACTAGCAAGCCAATTAAGACAAGTCAAACCCCAGTGTGGTGTGAGGACACATGTAGTCAAAAAGAAAAATTTAAAAAAAAGCCAAAAAGAAAAAGAAAAAAGGAACTGTCATACGTCTTTCACCAAAGTACAGCTGAGCCCAGCCTAAGGAGCAGCTGTCAGAGTATTGTCTTCTTGAAGAAGACACTGGAACAAATAAATCACTTCTTCTGTCACCGCTGGTTTTGGGGTAAAATAAACTTTGGGGGTGTTGCTGTTGCTTTCCGGCACAGAGGTCGGAAACAACAGCAATCATGACCAGAAAGCACTGGGGCTTCCAGTCCTTGAGAACTGGGGTTGGATCCAGCTGAGGCAAAGTACTCAGCTGGAGTAACGGGGTTGGTTGAATACTGGGGGATGGGGTTGGTGTTATTGCTTTCCGACACGAATGCCGGAAACAATAACAACAACGTCGTGACAGGAATATTCTTCTGGTCCATAAAGTACTGGAACTGCATGGAGATGCTGGGGAATCTTCTTTTAAACTGACGAGTATGATGTAGCATATACTCCAGGTGTTGTTCTTCAAAGGAATAGTCTTGGTTGAATACTGGGGGCTKGGGTTGGTGTTATTGCATTCCGACACGAATGCCAGAAACAACAACAACAACGTTATGACCGGAATCTTCTTCCGGTCCGGAAAATACTGGAACTGCATGGAGATGCTGAGAAAGCTTGAAACTGAGTATGATTTGGCATATACTCCAGGCTTTGTTCTTCACTAGGTCTTGGTTGAATACTGGGGGCTGGGGTTGGTGTTATTGCTTTCTGACACAAATGCCAGAACCAACAACAACCTGACCGGAAAACCCGTCCGGTCCGTAAAATACTGGAACTGCATGGAGATGAAGATGCTGGGGAGACTTCTTTAAAACTGAGTATGATGTAGCATATACTCCAGGCATTGTTCTTCAAAGGATTGGTCTTGGTTGACTACTGGGGGCTGGGGATGGTGTTGCTGCTGCCCGGCATGNGTATGATGTAGCATATACTCCAGGCATTGTTCTTCAAAGGATTGGTCTTGGTTGACTACTGGGGGCTGGGGATGGTGTTGCTGCTGCCCGGCATGTCTTCTTTAAACTGAGTATGATGTATGATGTAGCATATACTCCAGGCTTGTTCTGCACTAGTAGGTCTTGGTTGAATACTGGGGGATGGGGTTGGTGTTATTGCTTTCCGACATGAATGCCGGAAACAATAACAACAACATCATGACCGGAATATTCTTCTGGTCCGTAAAATACTGGAACTGCATGGAGATGCTGGGAAATCTTCTTGAAAACTGAGTATGATGTATGATGKAGCATATACTCCAGGCTTGTTCTTCACTAGGTCTTGGTTGAATACTGGGGGCTAGGGTTGTGGTTATTGCTCTCCGGCACGGATGCCGGAAACAACTTCAACACTGGAAGATACCACTCGGTGGTGCTTCCGGAGGAACCAGGGGGGGATGGATCCAGCTGGGACAAACCAACAGCTGGGGGATATCGATACTAGACTTGGAAATAGGCTTGGTTACATTGCTTGATTGCCTCTTGAATGGAGCCAAGGAGGAGGATTCTCCCCTTTGGAAGGGGATGTCACCATGGTGGATTCGGAAGCCAGAAAGGGTGTGTCAAGTAGGAATGGACGTAGGAATCAGTAGGAATTCTAGGTGATAATTTTCATAAGCGAAGTGTAATTTCATGCGTTTGAAAAATTTTGATTTGAAAATTATAGAAGCAAATACTACTAGATGTACTAAAACCCTTGTGGTGCGTCCTAGTACTACTACTAGTAGCTAGTATGACCATTTCTTTGGTTGTCCATAAGAAAAAGAGTATCCCCTAGTACACAATGACTCACTAGTATGACTGTGTAGAATTGTGTTCAGTCAGTACCAGAAACTTATTTTCATTATCAATACTTTTATAACTGTTTACTTGTACTACACCGATTACTACTTGTGCTGCTACGTCACAAAAAGTGTTCGCGGGGTTTGGTCGCAACCCCGCGCGTGTAGTTTTTGTGC